GAAAGTGGAGGCTCCTTAAGAATCAATTTAAAGGCTGCAAGTTAAAGGAAGGACCTCCAAGGTGATATTCTCTGAAATACTACCTGTGCCATGCGCAACTCAGGAAAGACAGGGGGAGATTAGAGAACTCAATGCATGGCTGAAGACCTGATGTAAGAGGGAAGGATTTGGGTTTCTAGAGCACTGGGCTGACTTTTCAATGGGGTGCAACCTATATGCTAGAGATGGTCTGCACCTAAATGGAAGGGGGTCTGCTGTGCTGGGGGAGAGGTTTAGGGGAAGGCTGGAGGAGTATTTAAACTAGGATCAAGGGGGGAGGGAGAATTAGATTATAATGGGTAGACAGATCAGACAGGGGTCACTACTTATTGGTGGGTGGAATGGGGAAAGATGGGGGGAAGGCTATTGCAGATAAGAAGGTTCCCATGTTACAAACAACCAGTGGAATTGGTACCATTTGTATGAAAATAAAAAATATGCAAAATACGTGTGAACAAGGTGTCAATCTATTTAAGTTTGTTCACCAATGCTAGAAGTCTGCCAAGCAAAATAGGTGAGTTGGAAGCTTTGTTGCATGAAGAGAGCTATGGTTTAATTGGTATTTCTGAATCTTGGCTTCATTCTAAGCATGACTGGACCATTAGAATTCATGACTATGTTCTCTTTTGGAGAGACAGAGTAAATAGGAAAGGTAGTGGTGTATGTCTCTATGTGAGAAGTGATCTCAGAGCGAGTGTGAAAGAGGACCTAGTTGATGGGGAGTGTGATGAGGCTGAAGTATTATGGGTGGAACTTCACATGGGGGTGCGTACCCACAAAGTTAATCATTGGCGTTTGTTATACGCCCCCAGTATTAATGAGGAGGTGGAAACTCAGCTCCTTGCACAGATCGCAAGGGCTGGGACAGTGATAATAATGGGGGATTTTAACTACCCAGAAATTGATTGGAGTAATGGTACTGTAGGAACAGTTAAAGGGCAAACATTTTTAAACCTACTACAGGACAATTTTATGGTACAGTTCATAGAGGCCCCAACTAGGAATGATGCTCTGCTGGACCTGGTAATCTCAAACCATGCAGAGCTTATTACGAATTCCATATAAAAGAACATCTGGGTTACAGTGACCATAACATGATTTAATTTATTGTTAGCTGTAAACAGCAAGCACATACGGGAAAAAAAAAAACGCTCAATTTCAAGAGAGGTAATTTTCTAAGGCTGAGAGCTGCTCTCCAAGACTTAGACTGGGAGGGAATATTGGCATTGATGAACACAACACAGAAATGGGAGTTCTTCAAAAAGACTGTATGTGAACACACTGCAAAATATATTCCCATAGGCAACAAGTTTAAAAGGCTAAAAATCAAACCTATGTGATTTATGGCCAAAGTTAAGAAGGCTATAGATAATAAGAAAAGAGCTTTAATTCAATATAAAAATGAAGGAACACTATCATCGTTTAAACATTATAAAGAATATAACCGAATATGCAAAAAGGAAATAAAGGCTGCAAAAAATGAAACTGAACGACAGATTGCAAAAGATAGCAGGACCAACCCCCCAAAATTCTTCAAATATATTAATAGCAAAAAGGTTCAGTCTGAGCATGTAGGCCCTTTACAAAATAATCTAGAGAAGGTGACTGGGGACAAAGAGAAGGCAAATTTATTAAATACCTTCTTCACCTCTGTGTATACAAAGGAGCATGGGAAGCTCTTGTCCATAATAGGCATGGTATTGACACAGCTCCAGATAATCCACATTGGGTCACAATTGATATGATCCAAAAATATTTAGACAGAATAAAGGTGAATAAAGCACCTGGACCAGATGGCATACACCCACGGGTCCTTAAAGAATTGAGCTCTGTCATATCAAAGCCATTGTTTCTAATTTTTAGGGACTCTTTAATGACTGGCATAGTACCACTGGATTGGCGTAAGGCCAATGTGGTGCCAATATTTAAAAAGCGGTCAAAATCTTTACCAAATAATTACAGACCTGTTAGCTTAACTTCTATAGTTGGGAAGATACTGGAGAGTTTAATCAAAGACCACATAGATGAGTTCTTAAAATATTTTAAGCAACAGACAGCATGGATTCATGAAAGACAGAAGTTGTCAAACAAATCTGATTTCTTTTTATGAGGGGGTGAGCAAAACCTTGGACAGGGGGGTGACTGTGGATGTGGTATACTTGGATTTTGCAAAAGCGTTTGACACAGTTCCCCACACACGACTAATTTGTAAGGTAAAGTCTACGGGCTTGGAAAAATCCATATGTAAAGGGATAGAAAACTGGCTAAAAGAACGTATTCAGAGAGTAGTGGTTAATGATTCATACTCTGAATGGTAAGGGGTCATCAGTGGTGTACCCCAGGGTTCAGTGTTGGGACCCTTACTTTTTAATATATTTATAAACGATATAGGGTCTGAGATTGAAAATCCCATTTCATTCTTTGCGGATGACACCAAGCTGTGCAGTGGAATAACGTCCTTACAGGATGTCTTCAACTTACAAGCCGACCTCAATGCACTGTTTAATTGGGCAACTATGTGGCAAATGAGATTTAATGTTGATAAATGTAAGGCTATGCACTTGGGGGTTAAAAATATGCATGCATCATACATACTGGGGGGGGGGGGTACAAACTGGGGGAATCAATGGTGAAGGATCTGGGGGTTCTGTTAGATCACAAGCTTAATAATGGCATGCAATGCCAAGCTGCGGCTTCTAAAGCAAGCAAAATCCTCTCTTGTATTAAAAGAGGTATAGACTCCAGAGAGAGAGATATCATATTACCCCTGTACAAATCATTAGTAACACCTCTTGTGGAATATGCAGTTCAGTTTCGGGCACCAATTCACAAAAAGAACATTGGGGAACTGGAGAATGTACAGAGAAGGGCAACTAAACTGATAAGAGGCATGGAGGAGCTCAGCTATGAGGAAAGATTAGAGGAACTAAATTTATTTCTCTCTTGAGAAGAGGAGATTAAGGGGGGATATGATCAACATGTATAAATACATCAGTGGTTCATATAGTGAACTCGGTGTAGAGCTATTCACCCTGAGGTCATCACAGAGGACAAGGGGAAACTTCTTACGTCTGGAGGAAAATAAATTTAATCTCCAAACACGGAAAGGTTTCTTCACAGTGAGAGCTGTAAAAATGTGGAATAGGCTCCCTCAAGATTTGGTTCTGGCCAGCTCAGTGGATTGCTTCAAAAAAGGCCTGGATTATTTCTTATATACACAGAATATAACTGGATACTAACATTTATAGGTAAAGTTGATCCAGGGAATATCCAATTGTGTCTCGGGGGGATCAGAAAGGAATTTTTTTTCCCAGCAGGTGCAAATTGGATTGTGCTTTTCTGGGTTTTTTTGCCTTCCTCTGGATCAACTGTGGGTATAGGATTATAACTTTTTTTTTTTTTCTATGGTTGAACTGAATGAACTTTTGTCTTTTCTTTTTAGCCAGACTAACTATGTAACCATCTCCATGCATGTAAAGAAATTGTATATTTTTACAAGAGAGCCCCTTACAAAAACAATTCAGCTTTGCACATGGATGGGTTACAATCAATTGTTCCAAATTGTACAGTATAAGCATAGTAACTGATACACAGATGAAGCAAATGCTAAAAGCTATAGAAAAAATAAAAAAAGGAAGGGGGTTTTGAACTCCATTGTCTGTACAGATATAGAGTTTATTGGTCTCCTATGGTCTGTGAGACCCCTATGATCGAAATTGTATATCTTTAATGTTGCCCTATAGGCCCTATTAAAAGATCAGCTCACCACCAAATTGTATTTTTTTTTTTAAAAAACTATTTATTTATCATTTTCTTTGCATTGGTACATGTTTTCAATGACAGTGCATGTCTTCTCATGCCTCATTTTTACCAAAAAATTAAGGCCAGGAAAACAAATTACATTAATTGGCATCCATAGACTTCAGTGGGGTTCAGGCACTATGTTTCAAATTTGTGGAATTTTTGTTCACTCATCACTAGTCATTGGTGTCCACCCATAACTGAAATAGGCTGTGGAATTTTAAAGAACAAAAATATTTTTTAACATAAGATAAAGGTAAATCTTCCTAATGGGGATAAAGGCAACCAGACACTCCCCACTTTAACCACTTGCTGACCCGACTTACTGCGGCAGGGTGGCACCTGTGTGCACAGCACCATCTTTTAACGTTGCTGTCAGGGCTCCGGGGTGTGACCAGAGGTATGTGACTGACGCAGGTCTGGCCATCACTTAAATACACCTACTCTCAGGTGTTTGGCTGGCTGCAGGGTTGAGTCTCTGATTGCTGGGGAGCACCCGCTGGCCAGCCCTGGTACTGCAGCCCACAAGGCAGGTGAGTCCCACCATTACTGGCCAGTCCATTCCTGACAGTACCCCCCCCCTCAAGGAGCGGCCTCAGGACTCTCCAAACAGTCCTAGCTGGGCAAAATGTTCCACCGCCCGGGTCTGGTAACTGGCGGGATATCAAAGACTGGCAACACCTGGGCACACTCCGAGGGCCTCTCCGGGCAGCGGCACACACCGGGCAGGGACTCCGGGCAGCGGCACACCGGGCAGGACTCCGGGCAGCGGCACACCGGGCAGACTTCCGGGCAGCGGCACACCGGGGCAGGACTCCGGGCAGCGGCACACACCGGGCATAGGTACATCGAGCGGCTGGACTCCGTGCAGAGGCACATCGGGCTGGACTCCAGGGCAGAGGCACATCGGCTGGGACTCCGGGCAGAGGCACATCGGGAGCTGGACTCCAGGCGAGGGGCCAGCAGAGGCATCGAGCTGGACACCGGATCACAAGGGCGGGCGAGACTGCGGGCACCCGGGCCACCAGGCGGGGGCGACAGGCACCGGGCCCCCAGGCGGGGGACAGGCATCGACAGGCACTCGGGCCCCCAGGCGGGGCGACGGGCATCGGGCCCCCAGGCGGGGAGACGGCGGGGGCGCCGGGCCCCCAGGAGGGGGCGACAGGCATCGGGCCCCCAGGCGGGGGCGACAGGCACCGGGCCCCAGGCGGGGCGACGGCATCAAGCCCCCAGGCGGAGGAGCGGCGGGAGTGTCGCCGGGGCCCCCAGGCGGGGGGCGACAGGCATCGGGCCCCCAGGCGGGGCGACAGGCATCGGGCCCCCAGGCGAGGCGCCGGCGGCGCGGGCCCCCAGGAGGGGCGACAGGCATCGGGCCCCCAGGCGGGGGCGGAGGCGACGGGCATGGCACCGGGCCCCCAGGCGGGGCGACCCGGGCCCCAGGCAGGCATCGGGCCCCCAGGCGGGGGGCGACGGGGCATCGGGCCCCCAGGTTCATTTGGCGGAGCGGCGAGGCAAGTGAAGCACCGAGTCACCAGGCACGACAGTGGGGGGCTCCGAGTCAACTGGCATGGCCACGGGCACTGGGTCAGACATTGGATCGTCTGGGCCCGACACTGCGGGCATCGGGTCACCAGGCATGACACGGCGGGCACTGGGTCATCAGGCATGGGATTGTCTGGCTCGACAGCGGGCATCGGTCACCCAGGTATGGGACGGGGCAGTCACCAGGTATTTGACAGCGGGCACAAGTGGGTCACCAGGCATCAGGTTCATTTGGCTCGCCAGCGGGCACCGCGTCATCTGGCAAGGCAGTGGGGTACCGAGTCACCAGGCACGACAGTGGGCTCCGAGTCAACTGGCATGACCGTGGGGCACTGGGTCAGACATTGGATCGCCTGGCCCGACAGCAGGCATCGGGGTCACCAGGCATGACAGCGGACACTGGGTCATCAGGCATGGGGATTGTCTGGCTCGACAGCGGGCATCGATTCACCAGGTATGACAGCGGGCACATGGGTCGTCGCAGGCAAGATGACTCACTGGTCATTTGGCTCAGGCCAGCGGGCACCGCGTCATCTGGCAAGGCAGTGCGGGCACCGAGTCGTCACCAGGCACGACAGTGGGTCTTGGCGAGTCAGCTGGCATGATTGAACCGTCTGGGACGGAACAGGGGCACCGATCAGGGCAAACATGCGGATCACCGAGTCGTCTGGCAAGACTGCGGGGCACCGAGTCGTCTGGCAAGACTGCGGGCACAGAGTCGTCTGGCAAAGGGGCACCGAGTCGCACTGCGGAACCGCGGGCACCGAGTCAACTGGCGGAACAGCGGGCACGGAGTCAACTGGCGGAACAGCGGGCACCGAGTCGTCTGGCAAGACTGCGGGCACCGAGTCGTCTGGGCAAGACTGCGGGCACGAGTCGACTGGAAAGACTGCGGGCACCGAGTCGTCTGGAAAGACTGCGGGCACCGAGTCGTCTGGCACCGAGAGTCGACTGGCGGAACAGCCTGGGCATCGAGTCATCTGGCGGAACAGCGGGCACCGAGTCGTCTGGCGGAAACTGCGGGCACCGAGTCGTCTGGCAAGACTGCGGGCACCGAGTCGTCTGGCAAGACTGCGGGCACCGAGTCGTCTGGAAAGACTGCGGGCACCGAGTCGTCTGGCAAGACTGCGTGGGCACACGAGTCGTCTGGGCGGACCGCGGGCATCGAGTCGGACTGGCGGAACAGCGGGCATCGAGTCGAGTCAACTGGCGGAACAGTGGGCATCGAGTCAACTGGCGGAACAGCGGGCACGGAGTCGACTGGCGGAACAAGCGGGCACCGAGTCGTCTGGCTTGAAAGACTGCGGGCACGAGTGTCGGAAGGACTGCAGGCACGAGTTCTGGGCAAAGACTGCGGGCACGAGTCGTCTGGAAAGGCGAGACTGCGGGCACCGAGGTCGTCTGGAAAGACTGCGGGCACGAGTCGACTGGCGGAACAGCGTGGGCATCGAGTCGACTGGGCGGAACAGCGGGGCAGGGCAATCGAGTCAACTGGCGGAACAGCGGGCATCGAGTCAACTGGCGGAACAACGGGCATCGAGTCATCTGGCAAGACTGCGGGCACCGAGTCAACTGGCGGAACAGCGGGCACCGAGTCGTCTGTCATAATAGGATCATCAGGCTGGATCAGTTCATCAGGCTGGGTAGAAACATCATGCTGGGTAGAGACATCAGGCTGAGTGGAGGCATCAGGCTGGGTGGAGGCATCAGGCTGGGTGGAGGCATCAGGCTGAATTGTGGGCGCCGAGGCACCAGGCTGCACCATGGAAGGCAGGTTCTCAGATGGGAGAAGGACTGACCGGTTTGGATACTGGCAGGATGGTATTGGTTGTAAAGAACTTTCGCCTTTTTCCTGGTTTTAGTTACCGGAGCACTGTAAGTAAGCGCAGGTTTGTAAACGGATGGAGCAGCTGGAGACAGAGAAGAGCTGGAGGATGGAACAGGGGAGGGAACAGTTGCTACAGAGGGCTTCTTTACAGTGTTAAAGGCAGGATAGGTGCAGCGAGTGGGAACAGGGTACTGACATGCGGTAGATAGCAGGGTATACTGGGCTGTAACTGGAGGTGCTGTTGGGAAAGCAGGAATAGAGCTTTGAAGAAATAGATTTGAAGCAGGACTGGGTTTTTGCAAGCTGACTGAGGATGGGTGCAACAAATCTGACCATGTACTCTCTGCAGTATGGGTTGAACAAAGCTCCGCTTACACAAAGCCTGTCTGACCAAAGACTGCGCAGTGTTTATACAATCCCTTAATACCTGTGGTGAACATGTGTAGAATAACGCTCCAGAAAGTAATCCACATCATCCTCTAATAACCATACCAGGGACTCTACCTGGTCTGCACTAAATGGCGGCAAAAATTCATCCCTGCAATTCGGGGGTACCAGATGAAACCAACTCAGCACAAACCTGAATCAATGGCTGCACCTCAGAGAATTCTGTGCCCTGATCTACTAGAACATGAGCGATCCGTATACATTCTAGCAGTTCATCCCTGGGATACTCCTTCAGAGTTTGATAAGCATACTCTCTGTCATCAAACACTAGCAGAGATAAATACACAACCTCATCCAGATCCATCCTTCCCAGCAACAAGCCAAAATGGCTTCCCTGTGCAGCCACTTCTGGTCAGGATTGGCCTTGGTGTAATGTCAGGGCTCCGGGGTGTGACCAGAGGTATGTGACTGACACAGGTCTGGCCATCACTTAAATACACCTGCATAAGCAGTTTCAGGTGTTTGGCTGGCTGCAGGGTTGAGTCTCTGATTGCTGGGAGCACCCGCTGGCCAGCCCTGGTACTGCAGCCCACAAGGCAGGTGAGTCCCACCATTACTGGCCAGTCCATTCCTGACAGTTGCTGTGCAAAACAGGTAGGAGGCGCACACCTGCCCTACCCGTCCTGCCGATCGTGGCAGCGGGTGTCCGTCTCCGGCTCCTGGCGGGTCATTTCCCGGCGATTGCAAGTAACCACTGACAGATAGCAGAGCTGCAATGTAAACAATGCAGCCGTGCTATCTGTCAGTTCAGAGCACGCTGAACCTGAGAGAAGACTTTATCTCTCAGGGTCAGCATGTTCCTGTGAAGTACACACCCCCGCCCCCTAGTAAAACACTCCCCTCGCACAGTTAACCCTTTCTTTACCTAATAAAAGTTAACCCCTTCCCCCCCAGTGCCATTAGTACAGTGTCAGTGTTTTTTTTTTTGCACTGATTACTGTATTGGTCTTACTGGGGATGCCAGTGACCCCAAGTCAGTTCCCCCCAGTGTCAAAATGTCCGCCGCAGTCCCGCAGTCCCACCATAAGTCGCTGATCACTGTCATAAATCGCTGATCACCGCCATAAGTCGCTGATTGCCGCCATTATTAGTATAATAATAAAAAAGTCCCAGTATCTTTCCCGCCATTTGTAGACGCTATAACTTTCACGTAAATTAATTAATTTACACGTATTGGGATTTTTTTTAAGCAAAGACATGTTGCAGAATACATTTTGACAGAAATTTATGACTAAATTTGATTTTTAAAATTTTTTTTACTGGACATGTTTTATAGCAAAAAGTCCAAAGTATTGTTTTTTTCTCAAAATTGTCATACATTTTTTTTTTTTTATAGTGCAAAAAAATAAAAAAACGTACAGGCGATTAAATACCACCGAAAGAAAGCTCAATTTGTGGGAAAAAAAAGGATGTAAATTTCATTTATGTACCGTATTGCATGACCGCGCAATTGTCCGTTAAACTAGCGCAGCGCCGTATAGCAAAAAAATTAGGCGTAAATTGCAGTATCTATACCATAGTTTGTAGGCGCTATAACCTTCAAACAAAGCAATCAATATACACTTATTGGGATTTTTTTTTACCAAAAACATGTAGCAGAATACATTTTGCCCTAAATTTATAAACTTTGAGTTTACTATATATTTTTTATAGTTGAAAGTAAAAAATATTGTTTTTCTTCAAAATTTTGGGTCTTTTTTTTGTTTATAGCGTAAAAAATAAAAAGCGCACAGGTGATCAAATACCACCGAAAGAAAGCTCTATTTGTGTGAAAAAGAGGACGTAAATTTTGTTTGGATGCTGCATTGCATGACCACGCAATTATCAGTTGAATTAGTGCAGCGCCCCGAGAGTAGCAAAAAGAGGCCTGGTCATTAAGGGGGGTAAATCCTCAGGAGGGCAAGTGGTTAAAGTTTACAAGTTTAAGGTTGACACATCTATATCTAAAATATATCACTACTGGAAGTGTGTGTGTGTGTGTATGTATAAGTGTATGTGTGTGTGTATATATATATGTATAAATATATATATATATATATGTATATATGTGTATATATATATATATATATATATATATACTGTAGTATATACACATACAGTTGTGTTCAAAATAATAGCAGTCAGACATCACTAACCTGATCAATCACTGTTTTTGGTAGAAATGATATTTATACATGACAAATAATTTACTAGCAGGTGTAGTAGAGTAATAGAAATCCAAAAGACCCAACAGTCATGACATGCATGCTGCTGATTCTGTGTAATTGAATCACTAATTGAAAGAGGCATGTTCAAAATAATAGCAGTGTGGAGTTCTATTAGTGAGGTCATTCATTCTTTGAAAAACAGGCGGCAATTATTGCCCTTATTTATGGAAGGAAGGCAGCAAATGTTGTACATGCTGGTTACAGTAAGAAAAAACAAACAAGGGATTTACTCTCATCAGGCATTACTGTGGTATACCACCTGTTTAATAAATAGACAAGTAGATATATACTCACAAACCAACGATAAAAACAGTATGTGTGGTTCACAACAACAGTCACAAATGGCTGTGTCTAATGTGCGGATAAGTTGACGCGTTTCGGGAGTGGAACCCCCCTTCCTCAGAGCTAAAGAAGCACCTGCTGGCCATTTGCCTATATACCACAGACATGTCAAAGGGAGGGTAAATGGGACCCTCCCACCAACTCCCAGCAGCCCAATGGCGAAAGAGAGAAAAAAAAAAAAAACCAGATAATGCACATATGAAATATATATTTAAATTAAAATGACCTGAATGTCATATGGCAAAAGAATGCAGTGTGCTGAAAAATAATGCACTGGCGCACAAATAAATGCATAAAAATATATACTGGAGGTGCACTGACATTTTATATCCATATATATACATATTTACATTTGCTTCCAAAGATGGTGGCTGAATCACTTCATGTATCAACTCAATAAGCGTCTCTGCCCACCTGTATGGCAGAGTGTGTGGACGCCACGCTGCCTCTGTCATCATTCTTT